AACAACCACACCATTACGCGTAAACGTATTACATATTACTTTATTATAGTGAAATTGTATGTGTTGCTCCGTGTCTTGATCGACCTACGACGTCGGTGAAGCGTTTGCATTCGAAACGTATAAAATAATAGCCATGCGCTCGTTTTTCAAGTAGGTACTATTAGGTGTATACATGTTATTATAGTAAAGTATTTTATTGTATAGGTGTCAAAACTGTTAACTAAAAACAAATCCTTCCAAATACACAATGAGAGTTTTGTTTAGTCTTCACCAAGTACTAATAAATATCGATGTAATTCTAAACGAAAAAAACTATCTTGGTGGACATAAATTTACTGAAAATGATTACAGATTTACCATGCAATTTTATATTTAAAACGGTGAATCTTTACAACCAAGTGATGGYGTGACTAATTTTATTGTCCCRCCTGACTAGACCTTTTGTACGCCAAAACATACCCACACTATATCCAAATATTTCTGAAAATCTTCATAAATCTATTTTATAGTCGTTTGGTTTGCTAAGACTTCGATCTACATATTATTATACAAATACACAACACACTATTAAATATTAGTATTAAATTAATTATATAGTATATATGAGTATATAATATAGCAGTCCGATACAAATCAATTTTCATTTGTTTAATAGGTGAMTATACCGGTGAAATAGGCAAAACTAAAAGTCAGAATGAGCTTTATGAGTTCCAAATTTTATTTTTACAAAATGCACAACAATTTTATTTTCAACATTGATTTAAATATATTTTGTAGCAACATTTTCAACTAGTGCCTATGAGTCTAAAATATAAGTTTAGGCTCGCGATAGGTACTAGATATAAATATTATGTAGTACACAGAACGATTCCTATTATTCCTAATGAACAAAAAAAAAAAAAAAACGGAAGTGTGTGTTATAATAATATTACACTCGTGGTATAAACTAGAATCGTGAGTCAGCTAACAATGCATTATATATAATAACAATAATAATGWGCCGTGTGAATTTTTACCTATAATTTGATTGTATTAACGATAAATATAACAATATAAAAATACAGGTGCAACAGTGTATAATATATTATTAATATATATACGCGTAGGGGTACGAGTACCTATTATATTGTGTGTAAACCATTCTAACAACGATGGTTAAATCAAGTAATAATTATATTATTGTTAACGAATAAACGKTATTAAATATAATCGGTCCTGACTAAAGTCACGTGATATACGCTGTATAAAAAATATAAAGATTCGAATAAAATAATATCGTAATCGTTTACGGAAATTATTATCGTTATCATTATAGTGAGGAAAAAAATCGTAAGTCTTGTGCCAAATGCAGTCAACATGGCGCTGACGAATGGTGACTATTATAATATTATGCAGCAACGGTGGCGACGTGGCTTGGGCATAAGTAGTATACACACATCATCGGGCGGCGGTTCGTTACGTTTCCCTCCCTCGGGAAATAATTATCGCAGGTCCGAGTTTTCGTAAATTACACCCTCCTCTGGGATCCGGCAAACGTAACGTTATTGTCTAAGTATTTATTTAGTCGGGTTTCTCGTCGTTATAATAGCAACATAAAAACAAAAACACCAGCAGACCCGAACGAATAATCATATAACGCGCGTTCTCGCGTAACGCAAATAATTCGACTGTTTGCCGAAATTGTACGGAGTTGAAAACATCGACTARGAATAATAATTATTTCCGGCGAGAAGTTCGYGGCAGCATATACACAGCTGTTATAYACGTCGAAGAAGTCAACCCCGAAAACCAGCGAGATCGCCAAACCGTAYGTAAAACAGTTGATTCGATGTATAGTAAAGTAAAAGTTATACCCGCAAAGTACGCGACTGATGCTCGTATTATTGTGTTATATGATATTTTTTAAATTTCGTGTTAACCGACGTTATCCTGAACGCCTCGAAAATAATGTCCACGACACAGTTGCTGCGTAAAAACATATTAAAAATTATTATAATATATATTATTATATTCTACTTATATCTGTTGTTTATATGTATAATTTAGAGACCATTTAATCGCCGGCCAAGTTAAAATTATGTATGTTTAGCGGAATGTATATTTAATGAATTATCTCGTATTGTATTATTCATCCTACACCTGCCCGTGGRACGTTGAATTCATCTATTGATAAACAAATTAATATATTTATACGACTGTACCAATGTATTATAATATTATTGTATATACCTAATACGCGATAACTCTCGGTGCAGTAGCCAACTTTCAATCCGACATGTCCAGMAGGACAATTTCAATTATAAATTTATAAAATAACTAAGCACCCCATAGTTACGAAAATGCTGAACGATTTTAGACAAATATAAGTTATATTTTTTCTACAGAAAAACACAGTTCGAAACGAAGGACGGAGGTGCATGCATGTACACTACAATAATGCACGTCAGAAAATTGAAAACAGAGGTTCTGCGTCTATCCAAATAATAATTATTAATTGTATACTTATTTAGAATAACGCGGATTCTAGAGGGGTAAATCTTCCATCACAAATAGTATCTATATATTATATAATATCTCATATATTGCTAATTGTATAAACGACCTTCAAAGTTGACATAATTATGATTGAATATTTAAATGTTTCCGATTCCTAACCTAACCCCGAAACTTACTTGTTAAAGAATTTTGGGACTCAGAAACAAAGAGTTAATATCATGGCTCATTTCTCGTTTCACGGGCAGTTCGCAATTAGCTCAACAAATTAATAATACTCATTCTAGTCAGGTTGAAGTCTCGTCTGGAATTCCTCAAGGTGGGTTTTTTTAATCCTCTTTCATTATTTCTGTGTATCAATTTTACTTCTGTTAGTTTAAAGAAGGTAAAAATCGTACTTTATTTGATGACATAAAATTGATTTCAGAAAAAGTTTCTTTTTATCTCCGTTTTATTTATTTTTCACTTGTCAGATCTCTCTTAAAATATGACGTGGTTGTTCAAAATAGATTTTTAGCTTTTACTTATTTCATTCTCAATACCCCATCAGTCATCTACAACAACTAATTACCATCTGTGTGAAATCCCTCATATTCAAACTCTACCCTATTATTAGAAGCTAACAAATGGTTCGTTAGGTCTCTTTTAAATGGGACCGGATCCAATCTTCTCAAAAGTGTCTCTTTTAGAATTTGCTCTTATTCTACACGCAATCAGATTCGTTTCTCTATCTTCAGTCACACCTCCTCGTAAAGCCATAACCACCAGAAAATCTTGGTGGACCGGTCTAACCTAATATAATAAGCTCGCAAAAATTTTAGACGCAATTTTTGGACAGTAAACATCTAATGGATCATTTTGAAGCGAAAATCTCGATGGGCCGATGAATAGGAATTAATCAGCCCCAGTGACGGCCAGACAGGTTAGCAAGGAATGCAACTGCATGTGTTCTCGAGGGGGGTGTGTGTGTACTACTGCAGGTTTCACAGGGAAATTAAAAAATTTATAACATAAACTATAGTCTATACTAATTGATTTCYTTGAATTACAGTGAATAATAAGTGAAAATATTTGTTATAAATAAAAAATTGGGAGGGTGGGTGGCTAACTTTTTCTAACTGCATGTGCTCTTAAAATACCTCTGCGCGCCACTGAATTCAGCCCTAAAYATACACTACTCCCTAATATCTACCTGTATTTTTAAATGTATAATATGTTAGGTTTAAATGTAAATTTGATTTTCACTTCTTTAGTTCTTTGTAATAATTGTCATTTTACTTTAAAATTTGATAATATAAATAAAATATGTGTGTAGCCTACCTTACGCATTGTTAAAACCATTATTGTTTATTTAGCACGATATTGGTGTTGTGCGCGCCTTTCATCTGGTTTGTATACGCAATATTACAAGTTCGAGTCATTCACCCCTTCGACGATAATCAAGTATAATGTGTATTATAATATAACTTTGAGTGAGTTTATAACTATTAAGGTACTTGAGTCATCTATAATGCTATATTTATATGTACTCACAGATATTTCATACGAGTGTGCAACTTAAATGTTTTCTTGCAGAACAATGACAATACTGCGTATTGTAATTAAAATTGTTCCCAAGTCCGATTACAATGCAATATATGTACATAGGACGGGATGACTGGTCGTGACTCGTGTATGTCGTATTATATAGGTATTTCTTTTCAAACGTAGGGTACTCGAGCTGATTWACAGATAATATTATGCACTATGAATATAGACTGTATGTATGCATAATAGAGAATGATTAATTTATCTCAGAACACCTATCGATATTTGTAGGAAAATGTTGGGTTGTTATTATAATGGTTGTGTGTGTTGGGTATCATCAAAGGTCAGGACAGACGATAGATAAATTCATAAGCGATTTTGGGTTAGGTTAAGGTCAGGTTGACGTAATATATTAGAACATTTTCCAAATATTGAGCGATAAAATATGTACAACAATAATATTATATTGGCGGCGAATATTCGAAAAACGACAACGACGGCCCCGACCATACATAATTTATATATTGCATAGCAGTAATACCCTTCAAAACTTTGCGGGGACCGCGTGTGTTTCGTGTAACACATTGTTTCAAAGTCGGGTGATAAAAAATGCTCTTTTCGAGGGAAAAAAATTAGCGCTTTGCACGTCTATATACGGAGTGCGCGTTATCTATCATCGCATCTATACATAAGTGTCCCGAGGCGTCCATGTAGGCTATTTTACGGTCCATCCAACAACGTTTAGCAAAAGTCCATTGCAGTATAATGGCGGGCGAGTAAGTATCTACAGCATATGGTTAGATTTTTTTTACGATTATGCGCTTTTAATTTTGTGCGGACTGCGCGTTTAAGACGTAGGCAAAGTTTTTAAAAAATGTGTTCATACGCGTATACATATATAATAGGTACGATGCGCGTCTTTAGATACAGGTCATCGTAAGCGAATGTTTAAGTTGCTATTTTATAGGTATAATACTCACTTTGCTTTTCCAATACTTCTGCCGACTCCTCACCCTCTTCGTCGCTTTCGTCGCCGTCATCATCGTCGGGTTCATCGTCGTCGTCGTCGCCATCGTCTTCTACGTCTCCCTCTGATTCCTGCAGATATTCGTCGCCCGGTTTGACTGTCGGCAATGGTAGAATACCGTCGTCAGTCACCGACACCTGAGTGTTACTGCCATGGATTTCTTGAAGTCTGTGATGCCTCGATTTCTGAAACACGAATAACGTTTATTTTTTTGTAATTTATACACGAATACTATACATAGCAGCATAAACCCGCAGACAAGACATGGAAAAATTTAGTGGAGGCCCCGTGGCAGTGTTGKGATTAGATAAGTGMTTTTTTATCTAGATAAAGATAAAGATAACAGGGCAAAAATGTATCTAGATAAAGATAAAAGATAACACAATTTAAATTTTATCTAGATAAAGATGAAAGATAAATAAATTATTATTTAGATAACAAGAAAGATACATTTAATTTTTTTAACTCATTGAAATCCAAAACATTTTAAGAGTACACCTTTGATACTACTAAGTACTTCAATATTATATAAACATCAGCTATATGAGTAAATATATGTTAGCAGTAGACATTATTATTAATAAATAACTAAGGTATAACTGAAAAAAATGTTTTAAATTAAGTATAAAAATCAAGAAAAACTACACATTTTACACGATTTATTTACCTAATTTATTGATTAACTAACTAATATAATATTATTATTATTTATTATTTTTTTTTTTACCAACTAATATACATACTCTAATAGTCTAATATACTAATTAGGTATATTATTATAATTATGTAATTTTTTAAATAGTTGTTTTGGGGATTTTTTTTTCCAGGAATTTTTTTTCCGATTACCATCCCAAGGCCCCAGGCCTCTTTTAATGTTTTAAGTTTCTAACCTAAAAACATACCTAATTGTCAAAACTTAACATATACCAACATCCATTAATTCATCGACAAATAATCAATCACTTCATTTTTTTCTACCAATAGCCATTAAACTGCGATTATATTTATTTTTGTTGCTGGTTTCGATATCATTTTATATTTTTTGGTTATTATAAATGGACTATAGTGACTTGTATTTTTTTTTTTTTTTTGAACAATGTTTATAAGCATAGTTATATATTATGCAACTATAATTTATAAAAAACTTTATGCACATTAATTAATATCAACCAGTGTCCAATACATTAATTACCTATCTAAAGATTATGAATAAAAACCATACAATTAATTTTCGCACAACGAAAAGTGTAATGACATTACCTATGTGTAGTTGCTTAACAACTAATTCATGAACAAAGCTGGTTTTATAGGAACCTACATTAGTTTTCTACGAACACGCGTTGATAATTAAACAATAATCAACGTTCCACATTCAAAAAAAAAAAAAACACTATTATCAGTTAATGACCGTACGTTATGTTACATGTTAAAGTCAAAATTTAATTAATTTGCATATCCCGTTTTTTTTTTTTGGATTTAATTCTCTCAATTTTCAATAATGGTAAATACCTTAATAGAATTAAATACTAAAAAAAACTTTCTAAATAGCAATAATTCAGCTTATAATTAACTTGGTGGATATTCGTTTAAGCGGACTGGAGTTACATTTAATTTCAACGGATAAAATAAGTATTAACTTTCCAAATCCGTTTTGTACTTAACGAATTCGTATATATTTACAGTCGTTTAGAATTAATTAAAATTGAGCGTCTTTACGGAGACTATAATAAACGTGCAGGTTGTTCAGCCAAAAGCAGTCGAAACAAAGAAATCGAAACGAAAGATTATTATCCAAAAGTCAAATATAGAGTGTAATAAAATTTATAATTTTGTCACGAACTATAATAGCAAATAAAATTTAAAATTATAATTTCTTTTCCGTTTTCTGCTATTTAATATATTCAAATGTAGCTGTTTTAATATTMTAAACGAAATACGCCTACTTACACATTTTTGTTATTTTTTGTTCTATTTAATAAAATCCATCCTATACAAAGGTTGGTATAGAGAGTTTTGATGGTGAGTTTGATATTATATTATGTAGAGTTTCAAAATAAGTACCTAGGTACAAATAAAAACTTTATAGTTAGTTTACACCTACGCGTTAATCTACGTTAAGTTAACATACCATGTATATTGTGTATTATAATAAATATTTACATTTTGTTCAATGCTATAATAATCTGTACTCATATTAAAGTGATGGTAGGTTTAAAATAATATATATATACATAATACATATTATATAACCACAGTTTATAAAATAAAATAAATTATTTTTCATTTGCATCGTATGGGTTAAAAATGARTAATATTGTAAACAGTTAGTACCTATTCATWTTTTTTTAAATGTTTAAAAACACCTAAAGCTTTTTAATATAACCATCTACATAATTATAGTGCACCAAGAGTATTAGATAAAATAAAATAAGACACCTAAAATCGATTTTTGATGTCGAACGAATCTATAATATACTTTACAATGTAGGTTCCCCCATACTATAATAATACATTTTAACATAAACTATATTATGGGAGACACGGTAAGTGCTAATTAAATATACAAATACCTACTTAACTATATAGGATAGATACAACGTCGGCGAATATGTATGTCRGTATCAAATACGCATACCAAATGTGTAACCGGGATATTGGACGTCTAGTTAATATAATATTATTATATAAGCTATACACACACACACAYATATATATATAATACTGTTAGGTGTATACATCGGGAGGTGATGGTAATCGCATGTGAAGTGTCAATATAAGTGCATAATATATTACGCATCGACGATCGACAGTTCCGGAATATATTACGCAGCTATAATATATGYAAATAGGTATTATGGGGAATATATTATAATATAATAAATCATTAAAACAAGAACAATATAATAGTGATTATGGATTTGGTTGTCAAAAACGGCAGCGCATTATTATTTCAAATGCCGGCCGGATTAAAATAAAGTGCATCTCRATGATGATGATGATGCGTTCCGCGATAGTTCTAGGAAACAAAACGGTCGTAAAATCATTCAATTATTATTGTTATTATTGTTGTTGTTTTATAGTAATATTATTATTATACCTATTACCTATGCATGTATTATGTATTTGCAGGTTACGCGTAACGCGTATAAAAGGCGGTATAATAACAATAAGAAACGTTGAATATAAAATATAGACGATAACCATCACGACTTATCGTTTTTAGACTTTGCAGGGCGCATCTCGCATTTCGATCACGATTATACCTACAATATCGGCCGGACGAATACAAATTTGCTGTACACAAAATATTTAAAATGTGTCGTTTTGCATACAAYTACGTGCACCTGTGTGGAGTGTAACGACAGAGATTATGATGAACTACAGATGAGATGATATTATAGGACTGAGAGAATAACAAATGAGCATGAGCATCTACAGTTTAGRTACACATTATACTATACCTAGGTACAGATGAGGTAAGATAGTTTTCGGATAAAACGAGACTTGGAAAAAAAATCGTAAATAATATATTAACGAATTGGCAGGTCACGTGATCAGACGTGAAAGATTGTCGGTAAAAGCGATCGAGGACGCATGAGAATGTGCAAAGACTCTGTACCGGAATATTATAATATATATATATATATATATATATATTATATGAACTCGTCACGATAAAGTTTGTGTGAATTTTGTACTATATAGGAAACAAAAACGAAAGCCGATCGATGCGAAACGCTGTGACAATTGGAGATGGCCAAGGGTCGTCAAACAAGAACTTTTTTACGACCATACCAGCTATGCATGATAATCGTACAGATAGAGATATGGTCAAATTTTATTGGGAGAACTTACATTTTTATGGCCTTCATTTAATTATGCAAATAAATTTGCATAAACACACAATGTTTTTAATTCTTTTTACTTGCCTTTATTAYAAATATTACCATAAACCATATAAAATATAAAAGATAGTTTATATTATATTAGACAAACATAATTGTATTATTCTACAACAGCAACAACAAAAAAGTCTTATACTTTAAAGTTTAAATACAACAAATTTGATAAAAATCGATTGATTGATGGAACAACCTTTAAAACCAAAAACATAAAAGTATGATTACTCAGTTTAACCTCAGTATATACATATATATATATATATATCCTGAACCTATAATCGTGGACTATATTTTAATATATTCTTARAACATGAAGTTTAATAACTCCAAAAACCATTAATTTTAATTGTATTCAGTGTTGTATATGTTGTACAATATCAAGGTTACTACACACTCGCTTAACAGTTATTAACAGTAAAAAATGCTGTTTTCTTTTAAAGAGATTTAAAGTTTGTAGCGCCACAAAAAACTCCTTAAGTTAGTTGGTTTTCAACCGGTATGCCGCTAATATGCTTGTGGTGTGCCACGAGAATCGAAACTGTCAAATTATTTTTAAATCTATAACCTACTGAAAACGTTAAATCATGCGTGCAACWTTGAATAAGTGTATCGTAGTGTGTCGTGATTACAAAATAAATCTTCAATGATATAATATAACTCGATACGCATTTGGATGGTCGTTTATTGAATATTCTATTATATTAGGTTAGGTTGGGTGAAAATATATCAAATATCTAATGTAATATTTTATATTGATTATGTTATCAAATGTCAAATATTATCTGATTATTTGAAAATAATGTACTCTTTAAGTAGGTTAATRCCAACATAAGTGGTTTGGTGRGGCCCGTACACTCGATTGAGTACGTACTCTGAGTAGTGAGTGTACGCACTGGCATGCATTGCTTGCCCCCCAGATGGGTGACAAAATCCTTGTCACGCATATAATACGTGTTCCAAACCAACAACGCTCCCCTATACTAACAGCTAATGGCCATAGCTGTCAGATTTAGGATCAATAAAAAAACCCTACATTAAAAGTTCAAAATTTCAAAAATAGGGATTTAAATAAATGCATAATTGAAGGGAAAATGGGGTTTGAAAAGTTTGGTTAATCGTCTTGTATGTATGACGTATCATACGTACCTAAATGAAATACCCCATTCGTTCGAAACCATAACATCCATGTAATTGATTATTCGCAAACATAATCAAATCCCGTCGAGTGAGGTATAGACACTGGAGACAACGCCATGCACAGAAACAACCCAAGCATAATATAA